CTGGGTATTTAACACATAAATATATGCAGCTGCCTGAATTAAAGGTAGTACTGGAGTTAGAGATGCTGGGGAAGGCAGTGTAGTGGTCTAATTCCCAATAATCATGAAATAAGGTAGGTGAGGCAGGGGAAAGGATCAGCTTGTCTTTAAGTTGCCCTTGAGCTGACAGCTGTGTGCCTGTGAAGAGAATCTATATGGAGTTTAATAGGAGGTGCATCTCATGAACAGAAGTTGAACTGAGGGTGATGGGAATAGAGAAAGAAGCTGACTTTCTCTTCCAATTAGATGCAGAAGAAAGAAAAGTATTGTCATGAACTGAGCCTTACAGACTGCTGGAGAGGGTTGAAACAGTTACAAAGGTTGTTCTTCAAACAAAAAGCAGAGATGTGAAGCATTGTGTCCAAGAAGCACGAAAAAGAAGGGGAACCACTGGTTTTCTTTGGGAAGAGAAACTATGCTGAGATTTTTAAGATACTGAAGCCTGACTGTATTTTTATGGAGGGGGTAAAAGGAGGGAGGGAATAGAAGGAAGAAGGGTAGGAATATGGCATGATACCAATCAGGAAAAAAGTTTGGGGGAGAAGGTAGTGAAATTATGTCTGTGATGTCGGTTCTATGAAGGGCAAATAGAAGAGAGGGTGTCTTGCTCTTGTGACTGTCCCTTGGAAGAATTAGCAAGGTGTGAGCACGGAACAGCAGAATGTGAAATCCCACACTTCTACCAGCTTGATCATTGGGATGAAGCAGAGCTGCTTTGGGGCAAGCAGTTGAAGAAAGAACTTGTTGCAGAGAACATCTCCGTGTTTGGTGGTGTCTTTCCATAGTGACAACCACTGTGAGATCGGGAGGAGAGCAAGAGAGTGCTGAATGAGCTGGGGGAGACATAACTGGGGGAGAAAAAGGAAACAGAGAAACAGACATAAATGTGACAGCAGAGCTCTGAAGTCCCAGGTGAAGTCAGCAAGCACAAAACCATTTACATTGCCTTCCCTCTTCTATCTTGCCCTCTGCTTCTTCTTGCTGATAAAGCATCACTGATTAGGTCTTCCCAGTTTTGAAAGTCTCACAGGTAAGCAGAAATTACAGTCTATGCAAGGATGAAAGCGTTTGTTTTTCTTTCTGTTCTTGACTTTTTACTCCATGAGAGAACTAGGTGGCTAACATAATTCATGTTTATTGCTAAATGTTGCTCTTTGATGTCTTCTTATTATAATACCCTGATTTCAAAGCTAGCAATAAACTGGAGGGATGGCACTTCATAAACATAGGGATTCATTTTTGGCCCTGTAAACTTCTTGAAACTTAAAATTTAAAAAAAAAAAAGTTGATCTCTTTTGCTTTAAAATAACTCTTTCATTTTACAAAATAACAGCTCTCTATGTAAATAAACCTCAAAATCTTGTTTTCTCATCTCCTCTGACCTCTCGTACCCCTTAGCCAGAAAAAAAACCAAAAAAAGCAGTTGATTGCTCTTGGTCAGACTGTAAGTTTTGATCAGTTAGCTGTGACTTCCTTGTTTAAGACAACTTTTATCTGAACACTTTTATTTTTTGCTAACTTGGCATCTGTTTTTCATCAGGGTTTCTGCCTGATGTATTGTATTTTGTTGGGTGCTTTTTGTCATCAAACTGCAGACAGCAAGTATAGTGGTTGGCTGATACTTTGAGGATCTTGGGACAGAGGTTATTTTTGTGAAAGAAAACATACAGTTCTTTCTAGCTTGGTTTTTTTCAATCATGATTAGCTCTGTCGGACTAAATTCTTTTAAGTTATCTATGTCCCTGTCGTCCTCTGACTTCTGCAATACTAGATGCAGTATTTTTATTAGTTAAATAGGTCTGAATAATTTACTTCATTCTGGAAAACTAATCTGCCTGTTAAAACTGTTAGCATATCAAACAGTGTAATACAGTATTGTGCTGGCAGAGACTTTGCTGGCAGACACTAGTCCCTGTGTATCTTTCTGTGAAGAGATATGCTAAAGATGAACTTTGTAGTTTAGAGAAGCAGATTAGTAATCTTGGCTATCTCTGCAAAGCCCTCAGATTTTGTAGTTTCTGTAAGATACATTGTGAATGTTACCTCAAAATCCTGGCTGAATACAATGCAGAGCACTCAGTCTCCAAGCTGTGTGGTACTGCAAAACCTATTATTACCGTGATACTTTCTATCAGCCTCATTAGCGATGATGAATGAGCTGAAGCATTTTTTCCCCCCTCTTCTGAAAAGACCCACTGACAATGGTTGCTGCCTGCGTATATGCACAGAGGGAATCAATCAACTAGACTATTACTACAGTAATACTAACTTCAAACAAAAACAAAATCATCTTCATTATCTTCCTAAATCTCTTTTGAAAAAAAGACTCTTCCCTCCTCCTACCCCTCTCTACAGAATCACCTTCTAGCTCTCTTGCCTTAAAAGGCTGCATCATGCAAAAAGTACAAGTGAAATCTCTTGTGTTTATTTACTATTGTCCTATTCCTAGGCAAATGAAATTGTCTTTTGGGCTTTCCTAAGGCTGAACATGTGATCAGGTTAATTTGACTGTACAGCATTCGTGTCAGACCACAGTGCCCCAAGTCTGCAGTTGCATTCCCACATGTCATGCTCCACTGATCCAGTAGTGTCATGTCCAGCGTGCCCACGGGGGTTAGGCTGGGAAGCCTGGCCCTTTTGCCATCTGTCCTCTTCTCATGTGGCAACTTAACTGAGCTTTAGGTCATAGCAACGTGCAAGTAACCGTCCTTACTTCTTTTCTCTCTCCTTTTCCATGTCACTTTCTTGCTGGGTGTGCTGTCCCTTCGCAGGAGCTGGCCTCTGCCTGGGCTCACATATTGGGCAGAGCAGGACCGATGGATTCCCCCAGCAGACCGTGCAAGGCAGGTGTCCAAGGGGGCTGTGTAGGATGGGTGTTGTACTGACTGGGGCGAGACTGCACAGCAGCCGCATCCTTATGTGTGCTAATGGTCCTAAACAAGTTGTCCAGTAAACAAATGGTTCCTGGAATTGGCATCTGAATGTCCTGGCGTTTTGGCTAAAGGAATCCCAAGGAATCCCAGGTTCCTGCTCAGGCTAAAGGAATCCCAAGGAATCCCAGGTTCCTGCTCAGGTGTGCAGAGTAGGAGATGCAGCTCTAAACAAAGCCTACAAAGACCTTGTTCTTGCCCCCTTAGTTTACCATGTAGATAAACTTGTCACCGGAAGATGGTTGTTTCTTGCTTGAATCTAGGAAAAAGAAAACTTAAATAAAAATACTTAAATTTTTTTCAGTTTGAAATGCATCAATGGAAGTAAGTTGCCACTTGGATTTCTCTGGAGAGGAGCGGGGGGGGGGGTGAAGGACAAAGGAGGACTGTTTTTTCCCCATTGGAACCAGCTGTGGTTTGTTTGCCTCTTGTGCATTTGGATGGGCATTCTGAAATCCAAACTGGAACTAGCAGTTAATATTACAAACAAGCAGCATAATTTGACTAAACAAGCTTTCAGATGATCACAACTAGGCTTTGATGCTGAAGAGTGGGATTTTCATAACTGCGGAAGTAATTTGAGAACATGCTTGTGCCCAAAGCCATTAGGGTTGTCGTGGTTTTTTTTTTTTTCTTTTTGCTTGAAGATGATTATAGTGATGATTCATACTTTTGTTAGTCTCAGCAAAAGATTGACTTGCATGTATAGTTGATTTAACAGCTGAGCACCTCTAAGCAAGTCATTCTTCATTTTGATGAAGAATTTATCTAGAGAAGATTCTCCCTTTTTTGTTTCTTTTTTTTCCTTCTTTTTGTTTGTGTCCTTGTTAGTTTTGTGTCTTCGGTTTCTAGCCCTTGTATTGACTGACTTTGCAAATGAGAACTTCCATGAGATCCTAGTCCAAGCCTTACTTGTACTTGGATATGTGGCTGTGGTTCCATGTTTTCAAGAGTGAGTTAGGATGGTTTTAGAGGTTCAGTTGATGAACAGTAGTTTACTAATACTATACAATCTGAGTTATTAAATTAAGTGTACCAGAAAGATGATTTAAGCCATTTAGTTTAATTAGATGCCTGTTTTCATTCTCTTTATTTCTTTCATTAGAGAATCAAATTTTTCCCCTCCTGTTCTTAATAGCATACTTTGTTTCTAATATCAGAAATCAGGTAAATTGAAATCTTCTCCTCAATCACTTTGTGACTTGTTTTAAACAGCTTCATGGGTTTATAACATTTTCAATTATCTTGTGCCAAATCATACAACCTCCCCTCCTCATCCACCTTTTTTGTTTGTGACAGCCACTTCATGATCTGTAAAGCTTTAAAAATAAAAACTGGTGAAGTGATAGAAAAAATAAAGCCATGAAAACTAACTTTCCTCCTCCTGTATGGACTACCAGGAGATTCAGGTGTCATGTAGAGTGAGTGTATTTTCTAATAACAAGCTGTGTGCTCACATACCATGCTTCTTTAAAGGTCTTCTCATTGTGATCACAGTGGTATTGATGGGAAATGTGCAAAGAATTTTTATAAGGTTGTTTGTATAACTGTGTTAACTTCTTTTTGAAGTCAGTAGAGTGAATACTTTTGCTTTGGGGAATTGCGGTTCTGTGGATGCCTGAGATGATGATAATGAATGATGGACCTTCAAAGTTAAATCCTACAAATGCAGTTCTTCTCTAGAGGATTTAATGAAAACTTAATGTTTTAAAAATGTGATTTCTTCTAAGATGGAACACTTGAGCATATCTATTGTCAAACAGAGTGGTGTCTTGGTAGTCATGTTTATGTTCTAACGTGAGGACTATTTGCAGACTTGTAAGCACCAACATGTGACTATATTCACCATGGAATATATTGGAATATGTAGAGGTTGGACTCGATCTCAGAGATCTTTTCCAACCTAATTGATTCTGTGGTTCTTGGATTCTATGAAAAAAGCGAGGTGATGTATACCATGTTTGAATGCCAAGCTAGAGTGCTGGCCTGTGTTGACACATCTGCTGATGCTTTCTTTGCTTTCTTTTGCAGTTTGGGGCAGAGTTCAGAAGGTTCTCTCTGGATCGCTACAAGCCAGGAAAGTTTGAAGACTTCTACAAACTAATTCTTCACATTCATCACATAGCCAACCTGGAAGTGATGATTGGATATGCTGACGTGCACGGAGACCTTCTCCCTATTAATAATGATGACAACTTCTTCAAGGCTGTTTCAAGTGCTCATCCACTGCTCAGGGTTTTTATACAAAGACAAGGTAAGATGCAATGTCATTTCAGTGCCTTGAAGTGTGCTGTGGCGAGGTGAAGAGTGGATTTGTGGCACCAATTTAAAGGCTCAAATGATGTAAGAGGGGCCTAGGAGCCTAGGAGCCATCTTGCTCCTCCTTTCAGGCACTTCATTGCAACTTGCAGGAATGGCATGGCTTCAGGGCAGGTAGAGGGACTGCATTGCTACCTGTAAGGTGTTTAAAGGATAACATGCTGAGAATCACCATGGGCCCTCTATTTTCCAAGAGGAGTGTACCACTGGTACTATATCATCACTTCAGCATGCCAAGTGCACTATTCCGCTTTTTTGAGGGAGCTGTGAGGAGGAAGGGGATCCTAGTACTACTACTTCACATTTAGAAATCTTATCTATCCATCTTGATAGTCAGTGTCATACCCAAATGATTCATGCCTGTGTAGTATGGGAACCCACAGAGATGTGTAGTTATGAAAGAAAAAAAAAAGTCACAAATGACATCGTTTGACTATGTTGACCTGGCAAACAGACAAATGATGATTTTTCCCTCCTTACACTAAAGAATGCTCATTCTTCCCATTTTGATTCATCAAACAAACCTTGGGCAGAATTGCCCAAAGGTCAAGGTGACATCAAGTTTAAGTGGCTGTGTGTTGTTCTCCTTAAAGACCATATTTGGCAGTTGCTTCAGATGAGGATTGGTTTTTATAATAAGGTGTCTTCAACACAGAGCTCCATAAATCCCAGGGGAACGCAACACTATGTTAACACTTCCTCCACGTTTTTTTTCAGTCATATAGTGATTTATAGAACATGGAATTTGGAATTAGTCTTGTCAGCAACAGATTCAGAAAAAAGACTTAATCCGAGACTTTGAGCAGTCATGTAGCTTTTTTCACCTGGACTCTTGCTGTGTAATGATAAGGATGTAGCAGGAGGCTCCAGCCTTCTCATTGATATAAGCTGGTGTAGTGTGTGGTTCGATTCAGTGTCCTCAGGTACATCCAGGGCTGTGTGGCTCTTGTCCATTTCAGAGCATGTTGTCTACCACCTTCTTTTACATGTGGTAAGTACTCAAGGAGACAATTGAGAAGAGGGTGTACAGCAGTTTGCTTTGGTGGTGTGTCTATCAAGTGAATGGATATGTCTGTGGGAGAGGACTTGCTCTCCCTTCTTGTGCAGAAAATGCAAAGGTGCATCACAAATTCTATGAAATCTTTTTCCTGTGGTGCCTGTTAGGGCTGGTGTTTATGGTGGGTCAGGTCACGAGAAATCCCTTACCATGCCTACTTCAGTTCAAGTTTATTCATGTCTCTGCATCAATCCTGTTCAAAATGCAGTTGTCCTTGCTCTACTTTGAACAGACTGCTGAAACCACTGAGTGTCCCTAACTCTGCATTGGGAGGGGGTTGCCACCAAAATGCAAATCACAGAAGTAGACAAATGAGAGAACTGTTGACTACAAATAGAAAAAGTGCTCCCTTCTTTTCTTCAATAGGAGAAGTATGCTAGTTGTGAAGGTTTATAATTTTTAAATTTAATGGAAAAGGGCATTATTTCCTTTTTAAAAAGCTTTTCTTTTACCTTTTTCTCAGTGAGAAGAATCATGCTGACAAATAAGAAAGCTCTTGTAAGAGGGAAGACAGGCCCATGCCTCGTCACTTGTGGAAAAGCCTGAAAATTTTCCCAACACACATTCTCCTTCTATAAAGCTGAAGGGAACAGCAAATTCTGGCCCATCCCTTTGCTTAATAGTACCTTTCATAAGGGACTCCTGAGGTTAACATTTGAGATTTATACTTGTGGATGGTCCCAAGTCCATTTCCTTTGCTTTGATGAAGCTTTTAGAAATTGTTCCCTTCAAGAATAGTAGGAAGTACTGAAATCTTGTTTATCTCTTTTTCCTTTGCTCCCCCGCTGTTTTCCCTGTCTTCAGATGGAGGTGACAGAGCAATGCTAGTCCTTCTGTTGGAGACCTGCATGAGAGAACAAGGTGACTAGGTCCAAGAAATCATTGTGCCATTCAGGGGAATGTGGTGTGCCTGCAGTGCTTCAGCTCACACCCTAAACTCTGACTTCAGAGGCAGGAAATTAAGGTGACAGGGATGCTTGTAAAATATGAGGGTAGTCCTCTGCTGTGACTTTGAAGGAGACTGCAGAGCATGGGCTCTCTAGGCTTTTGGATCAGGGTTCACTGCTCTTCAGTGGGAGTAGTCCTGGAAGGTGGCTGCCGGAGGTTATTCTCACAGTCTTGTTTGAGGGAACTAGGCAGAAGTATGCAGACATAAAGGGACTGAATAGTTGAAGTACAGGTCTTTTTTTTTTTTCTAGCAGAGCAAACTGTTTATCAACTGCTTGATGAGTCATCTGTTTTCTCAGTTTATAGCTGGGATATCCTTTCTCTCATCGAGTGAATGACACAATCACATTAAAACAGCCTGTTGTTCCCAGAGTGGCAAAATAGATAACTTACTCTTTGCACAATAATCAAGGAACACTTTGCTAGTTTGATTTTTGTTTGCCTAGATGTTTTTTATCTGAGCTTAGTCCTGTACTTTTTCCGTTCAAAAGCCTTTCCCTCATTTGTCACCAGAGGCAAACCATGTGCTCATTGCTTGGACTCTTCATGCCAGGTTGGTGTCCAGGTGTGGGATGGCTTTATTCCACTTTCTCCTTTTTTGTTCAAGTCTCCTTAGCCCCAGATTTTTCAGGATCACAGTAGCTGTTCCCTTTGCAGGCCGGCAATGTCAGTGCTTCTTAGCTAGCCATTTTAATAAGAACTTGAATTGCTGTTCCCAGTGTGCTTGCAACAATTACTGTTCATGGTTTTTGGGGTCTTGAAGAATCTGGAACATTTGTGGGTTATGTTTGAGTAAATTCAGCTATAGCAAGTTTTTATAGCTCATAGTGATTTGTCTGCTGAAAGTATGTGATGCTTTTTTCTGCCTTTTTTTTTCCCAATACCAAATTACAGTGCAGACAAAAATCCTAATTAGAGAACCAGGCTATAAAAAGAAAAGGCAGTTTTCTTTTGACTTGCTTTCCCAGGCTGCAAGTATGGGTCATGTCCTGTGTTGTAAACTGATGTGGCTCTTTTGGCTTCATTAGTACAGTAGTGATTTATATCAACTGATGCTTTGAGCTTGAGAATTTGTTCACTCAGCTGTAACTGATACCACATATACACAGAACTCTGTATGGAAGGTGCCCGCTGCTGTGGAAGGGATGGATATCCCAAAGACCTTAGAACAACATAAGAAATCATGGATGTGCTTGACTTGCTCCATAATATCTAAACTCTAGTACTCTAGCCGAGACCTGCATAAAGGAAGAGCTTATCTGATGATACAGTTGATCATCATTTTTTCAGTAATATTTGTTCTGTGTGATTCAAAGTACAGCACTTGAGACAATCTCTTGGATACTGCAAAAATATTTAAGTGTAAACTATGAATTCAAGCAGAAACATAGAACAGAAAAACTAAAAGAAGTTAGTGTTAGGTACTGTATGTAGTGTTTCTTGTATGATTAATGGAGTGAAATTATTATCAAATCTTACTTTAATGCCTGTCTCACAGAGGCAGAGCATGTGTTCAAACCAAGATGTATTGGAGGCTCTTAAATAGGATGGAATAAATAGCAGAATTATAATATCTTCACTGTAAACCTGCCTGAAACAACTCCTTGAACTTAGCAAGTGGGGTATAAAGATGTAAGTGGAGGTCTACCAGGTAAAAGACATTTCAGGATTTCTCTTTTTTTGCTTAGTTTACTTGCTATGGTGTGTTCGACCTAGGAAGTTCAGAAACTCAGGGAAGTGTTGCAAAATGAACGTGCTGATCGCTCTGTAAGTACTCTGTGCAGTGCTTTTTTCCAAGGAAAAGTGGTATATCTAGGACCAAGATGCTGAAATACAGCAGCATAGTGAATGGAGTGATATTTGGATCTTAATTCGAACTGAGCATACCACTGTAAGTCCAGACTAATGATTCTGATTCTGGGAGAAGTGATGAAGGCTGATGACAACCAGATCTACACTTTTTACTATTCATCGGGGTTTATAGACTTTACGTGGGCAGTAACAAAATCTGCTATAGCTTGAGTTGCAAAGGAGGTGACAGAGGTGGTGCACAGCCTGTTGGGTCTCATCTTGATCCCAGACTGAGGTCAAATGAACTCTTCCGAGAAGCCTTTTTGTTTTGTCCCCATCGCAACAGGAGGTCTGTTCTGATTCTATAAATAACAATAACAATAAAATTGTTATTATAGAGTATTGTTATTATAAAATGACAATAAATTAATGAGTGTGGGGGCACTTTGTCAATCCTAAAGCAAATTCTAAATCAAATTCACAATCTTTCCAACAATACAATTAATTTTAAAGTTCTCTAAAGGTTTAAACGGTTTCATGATAAGTGCCCTCCAAGTAGGAGGCAGGTGAAGTGCTGAAGTGTCAGGTGCTGAATCTGTATTTCACGTTAGCTTTTTCGAATATTACACTTCTTGCAGGAGCATAAAAGGCAAAAAAATCTGAACAAGCTGAAGGGCATTCTAACAGCAAACAGTCCTAAAACACACTCCACAGCTAACTGGAGCAGGGCTTTACATTATAATTTAGTAAATGCCACAAATGAACTGCAGCTGTTAATTAACATGGCTGGAAGCTGGAGAAGGCTGATGACTTCTGATACCTGTATCGTCTTGCATTTTGCAGTCTGAAAAAGTGATGGTGTGTAAAAAGCCATCAAGTATCATCTTCAAAAACTTGCTATAAGTTTTTTTTCTTCTGTAGCTATATTTTTTTAATAGTCTGTTACTGTAACAGTAAACCAGTACTGAACACCAGTTGTTGTTTCCTTCCTTGAGTGGTTAGAGCTGCTGTCTACCATCAGTTCTCACTTAGAGCTTGATCCAAAATCAACAAGGAAAAATGTGCATTTACCTGGTTGGGTTTTGAATTTGGCTTGTTTTAATTTAAAGATTGGAAGATGCTGTTTTTCTTCAACTGCA